GTCATACATAAGGAAAACAATCGAAGAATGGGACCAGCGGTATAAAGAGGGAGAAACAGCGGGAACAACAAAACTGTTCCTGAGGAACGTCGCTGTTGCACATAAACAAATAAGAGAGAAAAAGTTCAGTCCTGAGATGGCGCAGGTCCTCACATGCCATGGGCCCTTTGCTGGGTACCTGTGCCGTTTCAGGCTGAAGGAAAGAGGAGACTGTGAATGCGAGAGTGGGGTGGAACAATCCATCCCACACCTACTTATGGAGTGCCCCATTTTTGCCTCCTCCAGATGCGACCTGGAACAGATGATAGGCATGTCGCTTAGTCTTCAGGGACTGCCCGACATACTAGCCTGTAACAGATCGCACCTAGAGGATTTTTGCCTTAAAATTACTAAAAGAACAGCCAAGTTCAATGAGAGTAAAGCCGGGGCGGGGACCACGAGGCGGCCGGCGCCCACTTGCTAATGGGTATTATGAGGATACTCACGGAGAAGTGAAAGCCGCCCGCCTCGCGGGCCACGTCTCGTGATTGGAATGTGTAGAAAATAATTAAGGTAAGGATATAGATATAAGTAGGTGAATAAAAGACTGACTGTGATAGAAATGTAAAGATAAATAGATAGAGTAAGGAGATAGATATAAGTAGGATAATAAAAAGTGTAACCGAAACTGTATTGATATGTGTAAAATCCTAATAAAGAATAAAGTTGTGTTGTACATTATTTAGAGGATGGATGAAAGAAAGGAAGGAAGTTTAGCTTAGTCAACGCCCCTGGCGATAAAGTAGCCGGGGAAGGTAGGCCTATTAGGTGTATATAAAAAAAAAAAAAAAACCTAACCTAACCTAACCTCGTCGAAGACGTAAGATACAAGCATATACTTTTTATGTTGTGTTTGCCATTTAACGTTATCGCGTTTTACTTAACATCTAGCGCCATCTAGTATACTTGATAAAAAAAAATTACTAACCTACGCATGGGGCTAACAATACTGAAGTCTATTATAATGATCAAATGTTTGTAGAGGTGTAATTATTGTCTATATAGAAATTTCGTCATTCCATTTGTAATAATGTCGACGTATCGTTATTTCGTAATTCCACTTGCACGTGGATGAATCAGTCGCCCTAAAACCGCCATATAAGTCAGAGGACAATAAAGACATCGAATTCTATTTTGGTTTTCATTTGGTGTACCTCAAACACTAAACTGATGACCCCGACGTGATGCAATGTGAACAAAAAGGAAAATCTAAATAGGGCGGGGCGACTCACAAAAATATGTAAAAATATGTCGTGCAAGTTTACGAAGAAAGCGCCCAACAACGGCGAAATCGCAGCCATGGCCGGAGCACCATCAGCAGCACCACAGATGCCTGCTGTAGCAGACACATTCACGGGGCTCATGCAGCAATTGAAGAAGCTCACGCTGGAAGTTGCGGCACTCCGCAGCGAGGTGCAAGATCGAGGACGTCCCAGGAGTCGCAGTCACCAAAGCTACAGGAGCAGGTCCGCGTCGCACAAAAGAAGGACTCCAGGGGATCCAGAGTGGCTCTGCAGGTTCCATTACCGGTGGAGGAAGAACGCGAGGAGGTGCGAGGAACCTTGCGCCTGGCGTAAAGACAGCAGCGCGGAAAACTAGAACCAGTGTATCCGCAGGCGGTGGACGGATGTACTCAGGGACAGGTAGCTATTAATCACCGTTTGTTAGTTAGGGATAGTTCATCTAAGTTTACTTTCCTGATAGACACAGGAGCTAATATTTCGGTAATCCCGAAATGGTGTGTTAAACAACGCACACTAATTCATTGCGATTTTAAATTATACGCGGCTAATGATAGTGAAATAAAGACATACGGCATATGTTATTTACCAATAACTTTTGGTCTTAGGAGAAATTTAAAATGGCCATTCATAGTGTGCGATGTTAAGCAACCAATAATTGGGGCAGATTTTTTAAGAAATTTTAGATTATCTGTAGATTTATATAATAATAGATTAGTCGACCTAGTTACTAATTTGTACGTTCGTGGATCAAAGAGTGTAAACTCGATAGGAGCGGTGAAGAGTATTAGTAGTAGCCAGCCGTACGCGGAATTACTTGAGCAATTCAAGGAAATCACGCGACCACCTATTTTTAAGGAAGTGCCAGAGCATTCCGTCTATCACCATATTGAGACAACCGGCCCGCCAGTGTATACGCGCGCAAGGATGCTGCCACCTCACAGGTATGATGTAGTTAAAAAAGAATTCCAGTTGATGCAGGAGTTAGGGATATGCAGACCATCGAGTAGTCCGTGGGCCAGCCCACTACATGTAGTTCCTAAAAAGAACGTTGACATTCGACCTTGCGGGGACTATAGAATGCTTAATGCAATAACAAAACCGGACCGATACCCGATTCCCAGAGTTCAGGACTTTACCTATGGTTTACATAACAAAAAAGTTTTTTCAAAAATTGATATTTGTCGAGCGTATCATGTTATAAAAATTAGGCCGGAAGATATTGAAAAGACAGCGATTATTACCCCATTCGGACTTTTTGAGTTCCCAAGGATGACGTTTGGACTGCGTAACGCAGCCCAAACATTCCAAAGGTTTATAAATAGTACGATATTAGCAGGCATAGAACATTTGAATAGTTTAGATGATAAGAATATAATCGGAGAATCATATGTATTCGGGTACCTTGATGACGTCATCATTGGATCAGATAACGAGCTAATACGCCAAAAGCATTTGCGACTTTTGTTCGAGCGTTTCAGTAAATACAGTACTATGTCAATTAACTTAGGAAAATGTGTTTTTGGTCAAACAAAAATAGATTTTTTAGGATACGAGGTCTCAGAAAAAGGTATTAGTCCGTTACACGACAAAGTTCAAGCTATCGAAATGTACCCGAAGCCAGAAACTATTGTGGACCTTCGCAGGTTTCTCGGCATGTTAAACTTCTATAGAAATCACATACCAAACGCCGCGAAAGTACAAGGAACGTTAGATAGGTATTTGCATGGAGCAAAAAAGAACGATAAGCGTAAGATACAATGTACAGACGAGGCTAGTAGGGCATTTGATTTATGTAAGGAGAATTTAAAGAACGCCGCCACTTTATCGCATCCGATTGCAAACGCAGAATTAGCTTTAATGACCGACGCATCCGATTTCAGTATCGGCTCGGTGTTACAACAAAAGGAAAACAACACTTGGAGACCCCTAGGATACTTTTCAAAAAGGCTTACGGAATCCCAAAAGAAGTACTGCACATATGACAAGGAACTTTTGGCGATTTACTCAGGCATCGTTTATTTTAGAGACTTAATAGAAGGTAGGAATTTTACGGTGTATACAGACCATAAACCGTTAACATTCGCATTTAGTAAGTTAGGTTCAAACAAAGAATTACCTAGAAGGGCGCGACAGCTGTTATTTATTAGCGAATTTACAAATAACATCCAACACGTAATAGGTAGCGAGAACGCAGTTGCGGACGCATTGTCGAGGATAGAAGCCATAACATGTCCGAACCCGATACAATACGTAGACATCGCCCATGCGCAGGCCGATGACGCTGAGTTAGCAAATTTATTGAGTACAAGTACCACATACAATTGAAACAAATGAACTTAAATAATTCCGATGATTTGATTTATTGCGAAACATCTACTAAAAATATTCGGCCATACATTCCGAAAGAGTTTAGAAAGTCTATATTTGATTATTTCCACGGGTTAGCGCATCCAGGGGTAAAGGGATCGCGAACACTTATATGTAAAAAAGCATTTTGGCCAAATATGAACAAGGATATAGGGATTTGGACAAAGACATGTATTCAATGTCAAAAAAGTAAAATAGTGCGACACACGGTGTCTAAGTTAGGTACTTTCAAGGAAGGCGACCGTTTTGCACATTTGCATATCGATTTAATAGGACCACTACCCGTGACGGAACATGGCTATCGGTACTGCGTGACGATGATAGATCGGCGTACACGATGGCCTGAGATTTGTCCAGTTACAGATATGACGGCTGAGACTGTTGCAAAAGCAGTTTATGATAACTGGATCTGTAGGTACGGTTGTCCAATTTTTCTGACGTAAGACCCAGGCCGGCAGTTTGAGAGCGAATTATTCATAGATATAATGAAAATATTAGACATTCGTAAAACACGCACTAGCCCCTATCATCCGCAGGCAAATGGTAAAATAGAATGATGGCATAGGTCTTTAAAAGCGGCATTGATGGCTAGGCTAAACAATAACGCGGCTTGGTTCGCAGAATTACCTACGGTGATGCTAGGACTGCGAGCAGCGTGTCAGGTGGACAGCGATTACATAAGCGCAGCGGAATTCACTTTAGGTCATTGTTTACGTTTACCCGGTGAATTTTGTAGCGATAGTATTACTATGATAGAGAATCCACAAGCGTACATAATTAGATTAAGAGATATTTTAAATAGTATTAAACCTAAATCTAGAGATTGTAGTAATAAAAATATGTTTGTACATGCTGATTTAGGTTCCTGTTCACATGTTTTCTTGAGAATAGACGCAGTACGGAAACCTTCAGTACCACCTTATTGCGGACCCTACAAGGTATTGGAAAGAAATAAAAAGAATTTTAAGATTGCGATAAATGATACAATTTCTTACGTTTCAATAGACCGTGTAAAGCCAGCGTACATCCTAGACGAGTTTAATAGCAACCAGGTTAGCGGAAACTTATCAATGAAAATCAGCATAAGCAGGTTAATGAACCTTTAAAAATTACTCGTAGTGGTAGAAGTGTTAAGCAACCCGTTAGGTTTATGTTTTGATGTGTAAGCAACATACTTAGTAAGTAGGGAATTGTTAATTAAGCGAATGTTCAGATTATTGCAACACCAATTTGTATTGCTGAGAGTTGAATCTTTAAGTAATATTGTATTAGGTATATCAGTGTCCACTTTGCTCTAGCATAGGCTATAACAAGTAGCTACCTGTTACCGTCAGATAGTTAAATCTCAGAATGGGTAAAACTTACTCAATGGAAAAGAAGGAAGAGGAAGTCATAATCGCTCAGAATGGAGCCAACCAAGGTTCAACGACCCACATGGAATTCAAGCTGGAAGTTCTAGGCATCATGGTCACCGTCATGTTGTTCATAATCTTCATAGCGTGTGCGGTGGCAGTGTATAAAGTGTGTGTATACAAAACTAAACGTATGTTACGTCGAGAATTAATGTGCGCGTCGCAAAATGTTAGCGCGAGTGTTACACAACAACAGGCGTATAGGCCTAACGGTTGCGGAGTTTAGTTATAATTAGACTTAAGACATTGTATTTAGATTAAAAAGAAAAATATGGAATTCATTTATAACTGTGTTTATATTTATAACATTTACACTTTGTCATAGTTTGTATTTAAAAGTATCAGTAGTCAACTTTTTTTTTTTTGTGTTTATATGTAACTACTATTTTTTTTTTTTTTAAGAAGGGGGTGTATGTAGAGCTGTAATTATTGCCTATATAGAAATTTCGTAATTCCATTTGTAATATTGTCGACGTATCGTTATTTCGTAATTCCACTTGCACGTGGATGAATCAGTCGCCCTAAAACCGCCATATAAGTCAGAGGACAATAAAGACATCGAATTCTATTTCGGTTTTCATTTGGTGTACCTCAAACACTAAATGTTCCTTAAAACGAATGAACAAAAAATGTTTGACTACGAGTTACCATCAGATGTACTAAGACTTCTTGAAACCAACATATCATACTCATTTAAGAGTGGTCTGGCTTATGAAAGTTGATACTGGATTTTTTTGCAAACTTTTTATATGACAACACTAAAGTGTTCCTACCATCGGATATTTACCCAAATTGGGGTATTTTAAGCAGATAGTACTTAGGAACAATTAATTCCAAAAAGGCATTTTTAAAACAAACTTATCTTAACTATCTTTTAAACTAACTTAACAGGTTTTCCCAACCTTTTTCAAGCACCAGTCTCTCAGTATAATACATAGCTTTATGCTTATTGTCAAGTTTATTATTAATTATTAATAAAGTTTATTATTTATTATTATTTATGTAATAAAACAGCTGACTCGACGTGTGATGGCGCATAGTTACTTGAGTAACAATATTTAATACTTCACATTTTCGTCTCATGTCAATATTACATATTTTGTTAAAGTATTCTCATCCATTCCCATATCTCCATAGTTTCCTAGCAATCTCTGTCCTGTAGGATCAAATGGTGATTTTGGGTAACAAGCTGCTTTATACCGCTTTCCCATAACTTCTATTTCGTATATACCTTCGCTTAAATAATCTAATGTTACTTTATTTCCTTTATTCGTAACGTAACCAACGCCAATGGGTTTGTCTAAGTGGAATGCGTAATCTCCTCTTCTCAAGTAGCCTACCACCTCTCCATTTCTGTATATTGCTTCTTGACCGTATATCGGAATCTAAAAAATATTTATGAACGAGTATTTAAAGGAAAAAAAATCCTTCCATGCCGGCCTTAAAAGCCACTTGCGAGCTTTCAGGCAGTGTGAGTGTCCATAGGCCATCACTTAACGTTTTCCTCTAGTTACATAAAAAAGAAGGAAAATTCTATTCTATATTTCATTATTATTAGCAACATCAGGAAAATGATCTAATAATCGCTATCATGCTCTTATTATTATCCTATAGGTAAGTTTGGCGACAATTTATAAGATCATAATTTACTACATAAAAGCTTGGCCGTAACTATGATATAACAATGTAAGCTTGTTGAATATGCCTCATGTAACAGTTTCAGAAGCTATTCCCTGTGTACGTTCCTGGCTGGTATCAGAATTGGTACGCTCCTGTCTTGAGAGAAATCGTATTGATGCGGAAATATGTACCTAAATACGTTTCGATAGTAATGAGTGCGCAGCAAAAAGTGACTTTAACTTTGCCTTCACATCCAATGATGATCTTTTAAATACATTTTGATATTTTATTTAAAGTCGTACCTTCTCATCAAGAGTAAAGTAAGCGTATTTCTTAGTGACTCCCTCAACTTTTGCTTTTGTGACAAATTCGTTGCCGAAGTAATCCCCATTCTTGCGACAGGTGAAGGCAAGATTTGCTTCCACAGGGTTATCATCTGTCCGTAGATCTGTGTTCCATAAATGGTAGCCTAAAAGAAAACGTAGTAAAAGTCATGTAATTATATTTTCTCAATGTGAATTTCTATTCAATATCTTCTGAATTCTCATCTACATTTTAAAAATAACTTTAAGACATAGACGTTAGAAAAACAAATAAGTTTGCGAATTATTATGTAAATATTTGTTACTACCGACAGTTAGTGTTCTCTATTTTAAACTACTTAAAAATCATTGTACAAGTAGCGGCACGAAACTCTAGCGCTGACCGTTATTGCGCAGAAGTAAAAAATCAGGTACCTGAGGGGGGCTAGCGGAATGAAGAGTTTCGATTGGCTCTCCAGTCGCATTCCGTCCCCCGCGCGACAGTACACATGCGCAGAAATCCCCTCCACGTATCGGCCAGCGCTAGACTTACGTGCCGCTGCCTATACATATAGAAACTACAATTAAAAGTATGGACAAAAACAAATGGAATGCCTTATAGCATCGATAGTAAGACCACACTAGAATAATTACAGAAAGTGGAACATAATCCGTCGAAATCAGTTTAAATGTAAAGCTGGCAGAATTTACTGTAGAAAATAAGAAACTTTTATCGGAGATCGTTCTTTAAAAGGACGAAGTAAACATTCCTTGAAAAAAGAGAAGAAAAGAAATTTAGTTTTTTTGGTATAAATGAAAAATAACAAGTAGAACTGATTACACACATAATCAAGTTGGTAAAAAATACAACTGGATTATCTTTGGACTTTAAAGAGTTAAGCTCAGAAAGAGTGACTAACGAACCTCGCCCTGTCCTTCTCAATCTTTGATAACATTTGGAGAAATAACGAAGTACTGAAAATTGGCAGTGATAAAGGGAAAATATGCCATATTAAAGCTAGCATGCTCATTATATACCAGAATAAGCGAGTGAAATTAAAAACTAAAGAATCTCCGAAGGAATTCTAACATCGAGCAACAACTAAAAAATAAATTTACTCGATTATAATACACAAATGCAAGCTCTTGGTGAATGTAACGTTCCTCGTGAAATATTAGAACCGAGGCGTAAGTCAAGGCAATCTTTTGTTACCTATAACATTTGTAACAGTTCTATAGATTATTACGAAAAACATATGTAATGTTTTTCATAATAATAGGAGAAGAAAAGGGGGATAGAAATCAACGGTCAGTGTCTAAGCAACGTCTAAGCGTCTAATGAATTGAATTGCGCAAGTAAAAGCATTGGTCTAGAATTGAACATTTTAAAAACTAAAATTATGACTAAAAGCAAAGAACTTTTTGTAAATAACACGTAGAATATGTCCTGAACAATTATTACCTTGGGAAGCAAATATCGTTTAATGATTACTAAGATGTACATGAAATAATCAGAACAATAAACGTATGTAATAAATGGGCATTAAAAGATGTTCTGACCTTAAGTTCAGTATAAAAAGAAGTGAACAGTGGACACATGCATAGTTCCATATCTATTATATGGATGCCAAAAGTGGATTCTTAATTAAGAGCTAATGAAGTCTATTGGAGTATGCTATGGAGCGTTCTATTCTTCGGAGAGAGTGAAAAACAGCGTAAGACGAAGCCTAACAAAAATAACAGATGTGGTAACACACAAATAACTTCAAGTTGAAATAGGCTGGTCACACTGCCCGCTCAAATCTCCTCTCCTTACTCATTACCTTATTCTCCTTAATTCCCCGTGTAAACAAAAAAAGTAAAGGACGCCCACCAGAATCTGAATGCCAAGAATATGAAATAAAAACTAGCAAAAAACTTTGGAAACTAGCAAAGATGAGAGATAAGTGGGAAAATTTGGAGATTATACTTGTAGACTAGTATTGAATGTACTTTGACTAGTATTGAATATAATATGAACATAAAACCAATGTAACTTATATTATAGAACTCCGCTAAATTTAATTTATGTATCATCTTAAATTGCACAAACATCCTTATACGCTCCACATATTTATTCCCTTATTTCATTTATTTACCCATATTCCCAAGCGCGCGAGCTGGTTTATTGTGGTAATAAAACCTGCTAACCTTTTCCATACTAAGTGAAGTAAGCGCTCGCCATCCTCCATTAGTAAGACCAGACGCTGTTCTTAAGGCCCTATAAACTTGTATAGCATTCGACGACGGTATATGTAACTCCCAACCCAATTCACCTGACCACGTAACACGCAATGCTCTGCAAGTGTAGCTCTTATTCTCAGAAGAATAAGGTGCTTTTGTTACGTGGAGACTGCGGTGGGTGTTAACTGGGAACGCATCGTTTGAAAGCCCTGAGTTTGTGTAGCGTTGAAGAATACGTTGGCTGGAAGTTAATAATAATTTATATTAATTATTTCAAATAAACATATTATTATACCTTAAACATTTTATAAAATGAGTTTTAAAAATTGTATTCATCGAAAATAAGTATGTACGTGTTGGATCATTTCAAGAGCAACACTAAGACTTAAGTTGGTCTAATAAATAGCTTAATTAATTAGGTACACTATTTACTAGAGAAAAACTTAGCAATTTTATTTTAAAGAAATTAATTTTCGGCTGTTTTCCGAAAGATTTGGTAAAATCAGAATCAGTGTATAGTATCCCTATCTCTGACGCAACAAGATGGCGTGTTGTTGATGTTTCGTTGTGGTTGACTTGCGTATAGTTTTGTTGTGATATATCCGTGTTAATGCTATAAAAATGAATAAAACTGTATGTTCTGAATAGAGTTAGCAACCTCATTACTGTATAAATAATGTGGTAAACAATAATAATTGGTTGAAAACTATTTACGCTTATTTTAAGTAATTTGGATTTTGATTATTTCATTAACATTTTTTTAGATAGAAGAATATAAGCTAAATTAACAGTAAAATATTTAGTTTCATGTAAGAAGTTTACATCATTTACGTTTTGAGTAATTCTTTTAAATGATTTCTAAAAAAATTATATACTTTTTCAAAACCATTGCAATGTTTACAAAAGTATAATCCTGTAAAATAAATTTGTTTATAGATCCGAATTTTAAAATGAAATTGTATTCATATTTTAAATGTGGAATATAAAAAAAGTAACTATTTATACCTTCATCCATACTTATATTTATTTTTTTAGCCGTTTGAAATAACTTTAATTATTTTCAAAATCTACGACGAAACGAAAGCCTTACAAATATTTCAACAATAAATAATATTTACTAACGAAAATTTCGATCAATGCCAACTTAAAGAAAAACACTGGTCAATTTTCTGTCACTGTGTTGGTATTGATTGCGAGAAGCACGCGAGAGCATTACTTTTGAGAGTGCTCAATTGTGCGAAGCGTTGCTGTAGTTGGAACATTCAACGTTGAGCATTATGCCGCATAATGCGCTCTAGTGCTGTAATTGGAAAACGCACTATAACAGTAATTCACAAGCCGCAACCTCAACATCCGGGCAACTTCCTGATAATACCATGATGTCTCAAATTTATAATTGTGACGAAGGCGCGGATGAACACGAAATAGTAGATTTATGTGTTGCTCCTTCTGAGGGGCCAATAATTTGGTTAGAATAGGGGCAACAATTTGGTTAGAATAGGGGCAACAATTTGGTTAGAATAGGGGCAACAATTTGGTTAGAATAGGGTTAACAATTTGGTTAGAATAGGGGCAACAATTTGGTTAGAATAGGGTTAACTTATTAAAGTTTTTATTTAAGATTTTTTTTATTACATAAAATGTACATATTATTAATAATATAATGTTTGACATTACTTTATAAAAAATGTGGTCACTGAAAGTCATCGTCCTATTACAGTCAAAACCGTTTATAACGACATCGTTTACAACGACCTATCGGTTATTACAACCAGATTGTATTGTCCCGTCCGAATCCCTAGTAAACTATTCAGTTAACAAACCGTTTATAACAACATCGGATACAGCGACATATCGCTTACAACGACGAAATTTTATCGATATTCATCGGCTATAACGACCAACCGCTTCTTGTCTCAGCAAAACAAAACAATACAAACGATTTTAAATCTTATTTATAAGCATTGAATGAATATTTAGGCATATTATTATCTGCGCACTTTCTTCCACCTCTTCCCGGCCATTTGACCTTGCATACTTTACACAATATGTTCAGTTCGCTAATTTGACTGCGTGAGTAACAGTTTGATTTAAAAGTGTTGGTGTTGTTTAGACTGTGCAATTGTGCATTTATGTGTTATCATGTCGCAAAAAAAGAGAAAAGTGTTTTCTATTGAAGAAAAATCTCATGTCATATGGATAAAATGCAAAAAATATTTGAGACTGAGCTAAAAAAAAACGACCAAAATGACTTTTGTACTAATTATTTCGTAATAAATATTTTTGTTTCTTTTTTGACTCGTTTACATATTATAATATTAACATACCATATTATAACCCATACCTACTTATTCTAGATAGATAACTATGTACATACATATGTACTGTACTTGTGTATATGACATTGCTTATAACGACTATCGGATATAACGTCGGCAACTATACGGTCCCTTCAATGTCGTTATAAACGGTTTTGACTGTATTACCTAACGAGATACTTATCGGGATAGCCCAAAAGGGGGAGCTCGTTTATGTGAATTAAGAAAATAATACCTAATTTTTTTAGGTTTTTCTTCATACCAAACAAACTTTCATCATCTAGCGACTTCTAGCGACTTTTTAACCTTCGGTCTAGCGACATTTGCTTTAATCGAGCTGGCAACACTGGTATTTTATTTCTCCCATACAAAGTTGATTCCCCCTGAAGTAAACACTCAAGAGTCAAGTCAGCAGTGGGGACTTCCTTTTTGGCGGGAAAAGGAGAGCCGCGTTTTTCAAATAAAATTTTGTTTTATTTTAAATTAAATTGTCTTTTTCAAGACAGAGTGCTTTTGGAGGAGAATAATGTCTTCAGAGAGTGATGGTGATGAAGACGGGTCTACAAAGTCACCCGTAGACTCGAAAAAGAGGCGTATAGATAACTCTGTAAAATCGAACGATGTCGATGAGTATAAACCTTACTCTAAACCCGAGTATAAGCGATCCTACCCGGATAATAATAACATAGAAGAGTTTCCCGTTTACGTACAGGGAATTAAAATGGAAGATAAGATAGGTAATAAAAATCCTTTGCATTTATCAAAAATATTCAAAAACGTGAAGGGCATTAAGGAATGTCGTCGAGTTAATGCGGCCAAAATTATGCTGGTTTTCAAACAAGCTGCAGCTGCTAATGATTTTCTGAGTCACGTTAGCTTACGTGACAATAATATGAAAGCTTTTGTACCAGCCTCTTCGGTGGAGCGAGTGGGTAAAATTCGTTTTATCCCTAAAGAATGCAGTAACGCGGATTTATACCACAAACTAATGGCTGACTCTGAAATTGTTGGTGTTAGACGTTTTATGAAAAGAACTTGTGATGGTCTGGAACCTCTTACTACTATAAGCGTTACCTTTGTAGGAACTGTTCTCCCTCAGTATGTTTATTTAGACAACTGGCGTTACAAAGTTTTCACTTATATTCCTCCTCTCATGCAATGTTTTAAATGCATGAAATTTAGACACAGTGCCAAAGTATGTAGAAACAATCAGGTTTGTTCAAAGTGTTCAGGTGGTCATTCCTATAAGGAATGCTCAGCTGAATTTTTAAAGTGTGTTAACTGTGGAGGAGACCACTTGGCAGTATCCAGGTTTTGTCCTCAAAAAGCAGCTCAGATTAAAAAACATGAAAATAATTATTCATCTAAAATGTATTCAACTGTATTATTGTCAAGTGATTTTCCTCCGTTACCTAGTGATAAATCAGTTGTAAAGTTGGCTCACAATAAATTAGCTTCACCTACTGTCCAACCTAAGAGAAAAAAAAGTTATCACAAAATTCATCAGATAGTTCAATTCCAGTCCAGTCTGCTCCTCCTAATAGTGGTTCCTATGATCAGCTCATTAAAGATGATCAGTTCTTGAGTAAAATTATCAAAACTTTAGTTATGTTAGGCAATTCTAATACAGCAAACACAACTGCACACATTAAGGATATATTAATACAAAACTTAACAAAATAATGGATTATTTACGATTAATGCAACATAACATACAGAGTATCAATAATAAAAAACCACTTCTTAAATCTTTATTATATGATAATAAAATAGATGTGTGCTTGCTAAATGAAACTTGGTTAAAAGATTCTGGTCTGCCTTTTTATATACCTGGTTATATATTTGTTGGAAAAAATGCTAAAAATGAGCATGGAGGTGTAGGTATTTTAATAAAAAATGATATTAAATTTAAGGTCTTAAAAACTACTTTCTATCAAAATATTCAATTTATAGCTATTTCTATAATAACAGGATGTGGTCCTGTCTCAGTGCTCTGTGTCTACTGTCCACCAAATAATAGCTCAATTAGTTTGATTAATTTGAGAAAGATTATATTGCAATTACCCAAGCCTTGTCTTGTATCTGGTGATTTTAATGCTCACAATATAGCTTTTGGTTGTGATACTACCAATTCAAGAGGTCGTGAATTATTTGATATATTTGATGATGCTGATTTATGTATTTTAAATTCTGGTGACCCTACTACTATTTCTAGACCTGGTAATAATGCATCAGCCATTGATGTTACTTGTGTTAGCCCTGATATTGCACCACTTTGTGAGTGGTATGTCGGTGATGACTCTTTAGGGAGCTATCATTTACCTACTTTTGTTAACATCATTACCTCAACTCAAAAATATACAGTACAAGAGTCTATACATAAGTATTTATATAATAAAACAAACTGGAATATGTACAATGATAAATCCAAAGATATATTTGATAAATTTTCTCCTTCAACAATTGATCCTTTAGTTCAATATGATGAATTTTCTAAATTACTACTTAGTTTAAAAGAAAACTGTGTTCCATTGTTAAAGCATAAATCTTCTAGTAAAAAGTCTGCTCCTCCAGCTCCTTGGTGGAATGATACTTGTGCCGAGGCTGTAACCAAATCAAGAGAAGCGTTAGCTAATTATAGACGTAATATGACAATGGACAATTATATAGAATATAAGAAAATAGATTCGAGGAAAAAAATTATTATAAAAATGGCTAAGAAAGACAGTTGGAAAAGTCTTTGTTCGTCTTTTAATAGATTCACTCCAGTATCCCGAGTGTGGAATTTTATTAGAAGATTTAAGAGAATTAACATTAATAGAAATGTGTCCAAAAATGATGAGTGGATAGCAAGTTTTTTAGAGAATTTAGGGCAATCTAGTAATAACAACGATAATATTTCTGGTTTATTCGAATTTAATGATGGAAGTCAGTGGAGCAAGTTTCTACTTAACTCTTTTTGTTTTGAAGAACTTGACATGGCTTTGTCTTCAAGAAAGAATACAACTCCTGGTCTTGACGATATTCCTTATATTATGCTTCAAAATCTACATGTTTCTGTAAAACATATTCTACTTAATATTTTAAATTCGCTTTGGTCTCAGCAATTGATTCCAGAATCCTGGAGGTTGCAATGTGTCATACCAGTGTTAAAACCTGACAAACCCAATGATCATTTTAATTCGTACAGACCCATTTCTCTTACATCTTGTGTAGGGAAATTGTTTGAGCAAATGATTAAGATTAGACTGGACTATTTTGTTGAAAACCAGAAACTTATTCCTTCTTGTCAGTTTGGATTCAGAAAAGGCAAAAGTGCAGCAGAAAGTTTTATAGCTTACCTGACTGATATGAAGAAGTGTTTGTTATCAGGTTCTACTGCAATTTGTGTTTTCCTTGATGTTCAGGGGGCATATGATAATGTAGATCTTCACCAATTAATTAAGGTGCTATATTCTTTGGGCTTCCCAGGAAAGCTTTTAAAATGGATTTTCCATATGTATTATGGTCGTTCTTTATACATTAAATACAATAATGTTTTTCATGGTCCAAAATTAGCATTCAAGGGGTTGATGCAAGGGTCTTCTTTATCTCCAATCCTGTATAACCTTTATACTTCACAAATATATACATATGTGACTGAATCTGTAAAAATATTACAATTTGCTGATGACATCTTAATATATAGTGTAGGCAGTAATTTACAGGTTACTCAAGCAAAAGTTAATTCAGCTTTATGTCAACTTAACTACTATTATACTGAGATACTTAAATTAAATATAAATAGTAGTAAAAGTTCAGTTTTAGCTTATGGTATTGATACTAATGTAAATGTTAAGTATAACAATAATTTAATCCCTCAAAATAGCGAAAAAAAGTTTCTTGGTGTAATTTTTGACACTAAATTAAAGTTTACCAAACACATTGACTATATTTGTAGTAGAGCTTTGAAAGGTATCAATATTTTGCGGTCCTTAGCAGGAACTTTTTGGGATTCTGATCCAAAAATTCTTTGTTTATTATATAAAAGCTTAGTACGTAGTCATTTTGATTATAGTTGTCTGGCATATATGAATATTAGTCCTGTATTATTAAAAAAGCTTGATGTTATCCAAAATATTGCTCTTAGAATTGTTACTGGTGCAATGCGTACCACTCCTATCAATTCTATGGAGGTTGAGTCATGTGTAGAACCACTATGTATTCGGCGAGTATTAATTGCTGAAAAATTTTGCCTGAAAGTGATAACTTCTCAGAATGATGTTCTTCTTCCAAAACTTTCTTATTCTATAACTATCACTAATACACCAGATTTGCCTTCAAGTATAACAGCGACTAATGTTCTCAATAACCAGATCCCTGAATTATTGGGAATTATGAGCTTTATGACTGATTTATCTGATAATATGTACAAATCTGAACTATGGCCTGTATATCTCTGTAAATATAAAGCTCTTATGTGTAAATTAAATTTAGATATGTCCAGTGTAGTAGATAATATAGACTTTCTGGATTATTGCTGTACCAAGCCTAACAGTTACAAAGTCTACACTGATGGGTCTAAATCTTCATCTGCAGTGAAATCGGGTTACTATGATCCTCAGGCTAAAACCTCAAAATGTTTTATGTTAAGTAATACTTGCAGCATATTTACAGCTGAAGCTTATGCTATCTATCAAGTTGTATTGTACTTACAAAGTTTACAAAATAACGATAACTACATGGAGTTCCTAATAATTTCAGATTCAAAAAGTGTGTTAATGGCTTTAGACAAATGTCATACTTATTATAGAAATAATTATTTATTGTATAAAATTAGAGAAGCATTGATATCTTTGGATACTCCAGTAACATTTAAATGGGTGCCCTCTCATAGGGGTATCAAGGGAAATGATATTGTAGATGGTATCGTCAATTCTAATTATGATGAGGATCATAGTATTACATGCAGAGTTCCTTTTACGGATTTTCTTTTCGACTTAAAACAAAGAAGTCGCAAGTTATGGGAAAGCTATTGGAAATTATCCTCACAGCATAAAGGTAGTTGGTATGCAGAGATCCAAAAGGAACTCCCATGTAAACCTTGGTATGATAAATACAAAGGAGCCAATGAACGTAAATTTATAACCATTATTAATCGTTTGAGGTTTGGCCACTGTCAGACTCCAAGCCATTTATTTCGTTTTAAAATTATAAATAATAACAGATGTACATACTGTGGAGGAAATGAGGCCGACTTATCCCACCTCATCTTGAGTTGCCCGACCTTTAAATTTCAACGATTAATACTAGTAACGGATATTATGAAGTTGATGGATTTTGATGAGAATAATCGGACTAAACTTGGAAATTCTTTAGCAAATAACCCGACAAGATCAGTTTTAGACTCATCAGTCACTGCAAATGGTAGTCATCAATGTCAACCATCACAAATAGAAATTCCCCGCCGTGTCCAAGATTTACTGAAATGTCCAGTTCTATTCAAAGCTATTTACTATTATATAAAAAACACAGTTGAGAAAATTTAAAGCTCACCATTGTTTTATATTGATTGTATTTTATGTTAAGTTAGTATAGTTATTTGTGTAAGATATTTTGTTATACCTTTTTTTAAAGTGCCAATGGACTTTGTATCCGGCTAATAAATAAATTAAAAAAAAAAAAAAAAAAAAGTCAGCAGTGAAAAAAGCGCGGGAAACGTTGGTCGTGGCGGGAGTGTTTTTTCTTGTGAAATTTTTAAATTTAATTTAACTTGTATAAAAGATCAGTTTGTATATATTTTTATGTAGTAGTTTAATTTAATAGTTTTGTTTATTCATTTGTGTATATATTCTACAGTATCTGGTAAGTTTGTATACTTTTTCCTCAAGGCCTGGAGTCAGGCGAAAAAATGGACGAGCCCCGGATACCGGGGGCTCGTCCAGCTCGTCAGAGGTCTGACGTAATATTCGTAGATTTAGATTTGCATATAATAATTCTCCCTCTTCTAAATTACCGCTAACCCTAGCTGATCAGTTCATGGATCATCTTGCACCCCGTTCTGTACCGGAACAGGGATTTCCTCCATTATCTATTCCTGCTTACATTTCCGATGACCAAACTAGATTAAACGCTCCTTTCTCTTTGATCGAACTTAAAGGTGTACTCAATAACGTAAAAGACTCTACTCCAGGAGAAGATGGGATTCCATATTCTTTTTTGAAAAACCTTTCGGACCGTGTGCTGATGCTGTACTTAAATGTTATAAATTCTATTATGATTTCTGGGTGCATTCCCAAGTCTTGGATCACTCAATCTATTATCCCTATTTTAAAAGACAATAAACCAGCCGATGATCCTTCTTCTTACAGACCTATTGTCCTTTCTTCTGTTTTAATGAAAACAGCAGAACACCTAGTTAAAATCCGTTTAGAATGGTTTTAGAGTAAAAATCTATTAGCAACGGTTTTAGGAAAAGTAGAAGCACAATGGATAGCTTAGGTATATTCACTACGGACATAAGATTAGCTTTTTCAAACAACGAGTCGATATAAGCTCAGCTTATGACAATGTTCTTATATCGGTTCTTAGGGGAAAATTGCTTTGCTTAGATGTACAACCGATTCTGTCAAACTTTATTATCAATATGCTCAGTGAAAGATAATTTATTTATCGAAGATGTCAAACTATCCCGGACTGTGTGGAAAGGATTACCACAGGGTTTTGTGCTCAGTCCTTTGCTCTATAACATCTACACATATGATTTAGAAACATCATTGCAGGCATCAGCAAACGTACTACAATATGCAGACGATCTTCTTATATACAAATCGGGAAAATCGATTGAAAATAATTGCCAAGCTCTAACATCTTCCCTTTCATTTTTAAAATCATGGCTAAATTCGAATGGTTTAGACTTATCTGTATCCAAGAGAAGATCCCCGGTCCATGTAAAGTTCAATAGAGTTTGATTCCCTCGACTAATGACGTCAAATTCTTAGGAGTAGTTCTAGATTCCAAGCTTACCGGTGTCCCCCATTGTGAATATGTAACTGCAAGATGTGAACGTAATTTGAATATTCTTAGATGCTTATCGGGCATCTGGTGGGGAGCGTATTCACACTCCTTAAAACTGATTTACAACGCCATAATCAGAAGTGTAATGGATTACGGTACTTTTCTATTGGAACCAGGAAATATTTCTGGTTTTAAAAAAATGGATAGTATTCAGGCTAAAGCAATGAAAATAGTCCTAGGAGCTATGAAGTCAAGTCCAATCAACTGTATGAGAGTCGAGTGCGTAGAGCCTCCATTAAGCTTACGACGGCAATTTCTGTCTGATAAATTCCTATTCCGTTGTATCCAATTCAGTAACCATATCCTAACACCTAAACTGACTTACCTGGCATCTTTAATCCCCAATTGTAGTTATTGGAAAAACAAACGCCCACCATGTTTGGTTGAAAGTTACAGAAGATTTACTTATTTTGAGGTTCCTACTCACCAAGCGACTTCTAATCCATTGTTCAAATATAGTTAAACCCCTTGTAATCTCTCCTGATATACATACTAGCACAGGTCTCGTGAAAATTGAGCAAAACCAAAAGTTAACATTTAACTATATTGTTGACACCAAGTGGCCACAATGGCATCGAATATTTACAGATGCATCTAAGCGTTCCAAAGATGGCTGTGTAGGTGTTGGTGTACTGCACTCTAATTACAATATTGTTCAAAAAACTAAACACCCTCCTGAATCCTCCGTGTTCACCTGCTATTAAAATAGCCTGATTTGATGTCTCTTTCAGGGATTTATCTCTGGAATTCCTGGACTGAATCCTGGGCTCAAGATAGTTCAAAAGGTCGCCATTATCGTACGATTCAACCTTCTATACCCAGTAAGCCCTGGTTTTGGAGACTGAGATTCAGTAAAAAATTTACAACAGTACTGTCTCGTATGCGACTGGGACACGTCTGCACCCCAGCTCATCTTACTAAGTTAAATATTAATGACAGCCCTACGTGCGATTGCGGATATGATGTAGGTGATTTAAATCACATCATATTTGTTTGTCCTCGACGCGACCGGTCGGCTCTTCTCAAAGGTCTCATTTCCCTTCAAATTCCTTTCCCTTCATCCATATTATCATGTTTACTTTCAACATTGGACCCACATGTATATAATCTTTTAGCAGCTTTTATCTTAAGTAATAATATAAAAATTTAGACAATATGAACGTAAATATATTATGTAAATATGTTTTCTTACACTCCTTTTGTATGTAGATTTATAAGAATTGATCTTTTATTTTATAGATTAATTATTTTCTATTCCTAAATTCCTTTCCAGCCGATAATTTTATGTTTTTTACTCGTTTCCCTGTTTTAGACCCTGGGCCACAATGCACAAACCGTGCAGGCCAATAAAAAAATTAAAAAAAAGTCAGCAGTCAGCACTTGAAAATTCTGATTTCTCTGTACAGACTACAGTGGCCAGTGTAGTGCACATTATTCAATAGCGCAGAAGCGAAAAGTATGTCTAAAACTCTTGTTATAAAACATCTTCCAACAAATTTATCTTTTCAAGAAAAAGAACGACTTTTAAAGCATTTTGGAGCTGAAAATGTTTGGGAAACTCTAAAGAAACCTTTAGTGGTATTTGCGTCGTTTTCTACGAAAGAAGAAGCCGAATCAGTATTACGTAGATTGCATCAATTGGAAATAGCAAAAAGACGCCTTATTGTAGAGTATTCATACGAAAAAGAATCTTATTTATATCATAGAAAATCAGTAGGAGAATCATCTATAACATCACACAAAATTAGAGATTTTTTACGAGAATTAAATGCATGGAATCCATCTGTTGACTTTTATCAGCCTCCACCTGCCCATCTTAGTTACAAATATTCTTGTTTGGACCCAAAAATAGCTGTGAATATTATATTTTCAATGTTCAATCATAAACCATTCTACATTCAAGCTATTCATCTAATGAATAAAATGTGCATCAATACCCCTTTCAGTGATAATCCAGAAGCTATTACTTTTTTTAGAGAAACATTTCATGAACTTTTTTTTAAGGACATTATATTTCCCCCACATGAAAAACTAAGTGAATCAGAATCAGAAATTGACTCAGGTGAGGAAAGTGACAGAACTTATCAATCCACACCTACCTTCGTAAAGCGCCTCCACACATTGAAAAAGCCTTTAAAGAGAAAGCACTCTACATCTGTGTTATTTGCTCCTTATAAACCAAATGTTAAAAAAAAACACATCAACCAGGCAGAGGTATTTGATGTTGTGACACCTGTTACTGAAGGTAAAAAAATATCAGTAGTTATTCATAAAGATACTCCACAGAAATCACTGGAAAAGCCTGAGGTAGTGGGTAAACTAGGATTATTTGAAAAAAAAATTATACCTTCAGAGCAACCTTCAGAAGCTATTGAAGAAGAGCAACCTACAATTACACGAAAAGAGCTTTTAAAGAATAGAATCTCTTATAATGATATGAAATTACTTCCAGTATATAAAAATTATACTCCTGGACAACCATCAATGAGGCTCTACATAAAAAATTTAGCTAAGACAGTAAAAGAACAAGATGTTATAAGGATATATAGGCAATACATTGAGAATTTATCAGAGGAGAACCAAAATGGCTTTGATGTTAGAGTGATGCAAGAAGGAAGAATGAAAGGACAAGGTTTTGTTACATTTCCATGTATTAAGATAGCAGAAACTGCACTAAATGAAACAAATGGTTTTATTCTACAAGATAAGCCTATGGTGGTCCAATTTGCACGAGTAGCTAATAAGAAAACCATAGACTAACTTAATTTAATTATTTTAAGTTTTAATATTATTTTTATAACTGTCTATAAAATAAAAAATATGAACATCATTTTTTTATATATTTAACAAGTCAATAACATAAGATGAAGTTGTTTTCTGTTCGGAAATAGGAGTACCATGCAGCATCTTGCCTAACAATGGCATAACATTATCAATCAATTGCATGTCATGAATAAGGCTCTCAACTATTTTTTGTATCTTCTGTAGCACATAGGTAACCTTTGGATCGTTTGTCATCAAAAACTGTTGATAAAACGTGTCCAACAGAAGTATACACCAGTCATATATCTTACTTTCACGCTCCATATCTAGCTCTGTGTCCATTATGAGATGAGCAATAAAACTAATCAATAAAAGAGCATCATCCAGTGATAATAATTGCCTCAAGTGTGCTATTATTAGTGCATCACTAAAAGGTATTTGAAGCAGATACTTGAGCAAATCACCCTTTTTATTTTTTTTATGACAATCACTTAAACATAATATCCTTATTTCTTCATCATTAGTTACATCAATGTCATTTGAATTAAGCATTGATACTGTATAGACAATGAGAGACACTATTAATGACTCGGGTATATCTGTAAACTGGAGTAGTGTTTTATACAGTGCTTCAAAATCATCTTTTTCTATCAATGCTGACATAATTTGTGAACATACAGTTCTTTCTGCCAATCCCTTCAGCCATAGATGTTTAATGTCACTTCCAATTACCAAATCAGATTTCCCTGATGCATCCCAACTGACAATTTCCATAACATTTTCTGAAATTATGTTATGTGAACCTAGAAGACTAGAAATGTTTCTATCTGTTTCCAGCATGTATGGCAGCATTGCTATGTGGTTTGAACCTTGTAGGATAATTCTATTGTTGAAACTGTAAAGCTTAGCTTCTGTAGTATACATTTTCAATGGATATCTGCATGACCCTACACCTAATACCACATCGTAAGCAACAAGGATTGCACCATCTTCCTCAGTATTACTACCAAACATGATTAAATGGTTCTTTTCCATGCAAGCTATAGACACACTAGATAATGTAGAGATCCAAGGCACAGAAACCATGTTTTTCCAAGATTTGGTTTTAATATCGTAAACAGACAGCTTTGAATCACTCCCTGAAATCCAAAAAAATTAAATAAACTTACATAAGATCTTCCAGAACTCTATATAAAAATGATGTGCAAATTTATATAATTATAAAGGAAAAGGGCAAAGGGGTGTTACTATTGGCAGGAAAACATTTGCACAAGAGGAAAATCTTGGTAGTAATTAGTATACTTATAATGGGTTGCATAGCCATAAAAAGGATCCAACCATAGATCGGTTTCACCATTATTTTGAGGGACATTAATACGTTTTGGTACATATGAACCTACAGGTCAATAAATAGATTTAAATGTTCACTTATTACCTATATAAGCTTCATTCAATATAGGTCCTACAAAACAATAACCTTTTTCTGAAAATTGAGATCTTAACAGCTTATTTTGTCTATTTGTATCATACACATACTGTGTCTAACGTAAGCAAGAAAATGCACTATAATATATTTGTGGACACAATAATTTAAGATAAAATTTAAACTTACACAAAAAATAGACTTTATTATTGTTGGTTGAAATTAAGTGACCAACGACATACACATCATCAGATCTTACAACCTTTTCCCTGGTCAGCTTCGCCTTTTCTAGATCTCCCAATTCATCTCGTAGAGGAGAAATAAGAATTTCATATTTTTCCTTTTTTTTATTATTAGTATTCTTGATAACATAACAAATATAATCTTTTTTTTCAATGGTGTATGCACCAACATCAATAATATTTTCCCTGTCTTTAATTATAGGTTTGTGAGCAGACATCAGTCTATTATCAACACCATATGGAAGTGAGGCACAGTTTCCATTTTCAAAAATAATTAGTGATGTTTGCTTTTGCCTCGCTAGAACCTTAAAAATTTTTGCTGAAAACTAAGTTAACCATTAAATTTAGTCTTACTAATTTAAAAATAAATATTTTTTTGAATATTCCAACATACTTTGTATTTCTTTAGTTTATCTAAGTTTTCACTTTCATCTTTCCATGCTTTAATAGTATTTTGGTTAAAGACACCAACATATGACTCTTGTTCATCATCATAAATCACAGCTGAAGTGATATGGTCCTTTGATGTCCAGCCCCCGGTCTGTTTCTGGTCCGATAGCTATTAAATTAAGCAAGGATTTAGTTTAATTATGTAGTTTTCCTGTCATTATATAAAAATACACATTACACTAACCCTGTACTTATTAACAACGTTCCGACCCAACGTAACCACAACAGTTTCGGGTTCTTTATCTTTAGTTACTCCAAGAAAACTATTTTGATCAATTAGTGGACATAGTACGTAATAGCTATAAAATTTAGCCATTTCAGTTATTAAAAAATACACATTTAAATTCACCACAAAAGCGTGGCGATAGCATGGAATATGAATAACTAAACTGGCCAGTGAATAGTGATGCTACACTCTACACTCTACAGTAGTGTTGCGCACCTCATACATGAGGCACCTCAAATGTCACACTCAAAGTTGTCAAATGTCGCATCACCTCAAACACACATTTTGTACCGCTTCAAACTCGTTGAGGTATTTCAAACGCGGGCTAGGCGCTGAATGTGATTGAGGCGGTGAGTCGTATGTCATGAATGAGTTGAGATGAATTGTTTTGTCTTATTCTCCCATCCCAAGTAGGACAATGACAATAGTTAAAAATCGTGTCTGATGAGCAACTGATTAAATCGATATTATTGAATGAGTGACAGTGACTGTTCACTGTGACATATTATTGTAATTGGTTTTTGTTTGCATAAATAACTTGACTTTTTGAAGTTATACTTCTTTAGGCGCGTTATGAAAAATTGATGAGAGTGAAATTTTACGTAGCGCGCGCACCGTTACACAAAATTAACAGAATGAAGTTGCCCACGGAAGATGCTACGGCATTGGACATAATTTAAAAACAACATTCGAATAATAATAGAATTTATGTCACACTTAATGTAAGAGAATAATAATAAATATTTAATTTTTCAAATGTAAACTGAACTTTATTGACTATAATGACTCCTTTTCCAGTCTTTGATTGTAATTAATTATTTGCATGCAATCAAAAACTATTTTTAATAATGCCAAAGAAGTATAACTTCTTACGCGCGTACATAAGTACACGCACCCTTTTCTATTTATTTTTTTATGGTCGAAAGACCTGCGCCATAGAGACAATGGATTCGTACATAAAGGGACTAACAGTACAGAACAGAATCCTCAAATGAAGTGGTACAATGTATTAACTCATTTTATAAAATGAGGTGGGACATACAAACACTTCAATTTCGTTTGTCCCACCCATCACTACTCTACAGGCCTAGTGCCTACAGAATTTTCCCACTAAAACCAACTATAAATACCCCTAAATATCAGTGTTGCCAGATTATCTCGGCGACGTACCCCTAGACTAATTTGATTTTCCCCCCAGTAATCCCCTAGGATGCCCTCACCAAGCGGCGGTCATTTTGGGATTGTTTGGTAATGAAAGGCATTAAGCAAAGTATCTGTAATAGAAAATGGATCGACAGATTCAAGTTTTATTCGGTTTTTGGTTACAGAAGATTCTTTGGTTGTTGATTGATTTCGAGATTAATTCTAAGTCACAGACACAGCTCACAGCTCTCAGAATCAGAAATTGACTTAAACGTGTATCATATCAGGCAAAGACCTAATAAAAAAATGTGTGCGTGTACTAGTGTACACACGTAAGAAGTGAAACGTCTTTATGACCTTATTTTTCCAGAAATTGGTTAAATAAAGTTAAAGTTTAACAAAAGGCTTTTATTATCAGAGAGATAGAGAGAGACAAATCATATCAGGCAAAGACCTAATAAAAAAATGTGTGCGTGTACTAGTGTACACACGTAAGAAGTGAAACGTCTTTATGACCTTATTTTTCCAGAAATTGGTTAAATAAAGTTAAAGTTTAACAAAAGGCTTTTATTATCAGAGAGATAGAGAGAGACAAATAATACAATTATTTTAATTTACCTTATTACTACTAATATTATTAAAGAATTTCATTATTTGTAATAGAATTATTACTATCATTGTTATCGTTATTATATATATTAGGTTTCGACCTGCAGAACAAGCCCCGTGGACGGCCTGAGACCCAAGTTGATAATGAAGTATTGAAGGCTATTGTGGAAGTGGATCCATCGCAAACCACGTCCGAGTTAGCTGCAGGTGTTAGTGATAAAACTGTTTTAATTCACTTGAAGCAAATTGGGAAGATTAAAAATTGTGCGTGTACTAGGTGTACACACGTAAGAAGTGAAACTAAGAAATAAGATCTTATTTTTCGAAAAATGATCTACTATATGCAACTTTACAGAAATTCGTTAAATTAGATAAAGTTTAACAAAAGGCTTTTATTATCATAGACATGAAGACAAATATTTCATTTTACCTTATTACTACGAAGATTATTATAGAATTTCATTAATTGTAATAGAATTATTACTATCATTGAAAAACGTGACGATTTGCTACAAAATTTCTCCCATATGTCGATAAAGAAGTTTCATTCCAACGCCGATAAAGAAGTTTGACATCAAAAAGCAACTTGCGCGTAACCGAAAAATGTGACGCGTAACGAAAAAATGTTACACTAACATTTTTTCCAACCCCGATAAAGAAGTTTCACTTCAAAAAGCTTGAAAGATGGGTACCTCACGAATTGACTGAAGCAAACCGGCAAACGCGCGTCGACTGCTGCGTCACATTACTGAACCGGCACAATAATGAAGGTATTTTAAACCGAATCATTACCTGTGATGAAAAATGGATTCTTTGCGATAATCGGAAGCGCTTAGCGCAATGGTTGGATCCTGGCCAGCCAGCCAAATCCTGCCCTAAGCGAAAATTAACCCCAAAAAAGTTACTTGTAAGCGTTTGGTGGACTAGTGCCGGTATTGTTCATTGCAGTTTTCTCAAATCTGGCCAGACTACTACGGCTGATGTCTATTGTCAGCAATTGCAAACCATGATGGAAAAGCTAGCGGCTAAACAACGTAGGCTGGTCAATCGCTCCACGCCACTGCTACTTCACGACAACGCTAGACCACACACTGCACAACAGACGGCTACGAAATTAGAAGAGCTTCAATTGGAATGTCTAGGACATCCTCCGTACTCCCCGGACCTTGCTCCAACAGATTACCATTTTTTTCGAAATTTGTACAACTTCTTGCAAGGGAAAAAATTTAACTCTGATGGGGTAGTCCAAATCGCCTTCACAGATTTTATTGATTCCCGTCTAACTGGTTTTTTTAGTAAAGGGATCAATGAACTACCTATGAGATGGCAAAAGTGTATAGAAAACAATGGTTCATACTTAGATTAATTAAATATATTATATTTAAAAATATTCGACTTTTTGTTCCTCCCATACAAAACGCCAATTTCATATGTAAGGACCTAATATTTGTTAGTAATGGCTTCGAATCTCTTCGGATCAACCGTGATAGGGACAAGAAAAAGATGGCGCGTAACGGAATAATGTGACGGTAATTTTTTTTCCAACGCCGATAAAGAAGTTTCGCTTTAAAAACGCGACTCTCCAAATATCATACACAGCTCAATGTGTTTTTTATATAAATGTTACGCTGTGTTTTAAAATCGGCGTAACATGCTCGTCAAAACTCTATTCTCCACTTTCAGCGCCAATGTTCACGAGATGGCCGACAGCGAGGACGTGTTGATATCTTTGATTCTACTTTATTATTGTTTCATCCAAATTAAGAAGAAAAAAAAATAGGGTGCGTGTACTTATGTACGCGCGTAAGAAGTTATACTTCTTTGGCTTTCTTTATTTTTTAAAAATATTAAATAATTAATAATAAATATTTAACGTTAATAATTTAATAATATTTAATATTTAGTATATTATTCAATTATTAATTTTCGTCGTCGAGGATTATTAACAGAGGAGTAGGTCTCGTCGTGCACAGTTTGTGGTTTGGGACAGACTAATATAGGTTATTTTTCAATGGCATTTAAAGACACAGTATGGAAGCTTTGAGAGTTGATCTCTGCAGTTTCTAGAGAGAGTTCTTGGTTGTAAGCTTGATCATGTGTTAGAGTTAAGTTTTCTAAAAGCCTTTGTCTAATTTTATGCGATGTTATACCTACATTTTATGAGATGATAGGGATTTAGAAAGTAGTTTCAAAGCTTGTTAATATATGTCAACACTTTCTTTGTTTCCTTGTTGCTAACATGTCTAGCAAAAATCAGATTTTTTTGGTTTTACATACAGTTTTTGCAGTATTGTGATCGCTTCTTCGTAGTTCTTCTATATATGTAAATATTTGGTGATATATGATTTACCAAAAGCTGAAAGTTTATGCTGTCCCATTTTTCTGGCGGAGGAACTGACTGTGCATCTGTTTCTGGAGCGGTTGGTTTCTGCACGGAAATGAAGCTTTCAAAAGTCTTATACCAGTGTATCCAAGCTCTCGTACCACAGCTATTTGACGGGTCGATATCAAATCTTTCAGGGCGAAGATATTTTTATGCATGTTGCTTTTATTTAGCTTATTAAATTGAAATAAGAGAAAACCTTTAAAGAATATAAGGTTTTTATAAGCTAAATTAACAGTAAAATATTTTGGTACACTACAAAACTTTCAAGTAAGAAGTTGGCATCACTGTAAACAAATTGGCACAAATTTAGTAGACTAAAGACTAGAGGTTTATATACTTTTAGTTGATTTTAATAAATCGATTATACTACTCACCGAAAAATAAGAAAGTTAATGGTTGAAAAATCTAAGCAAATATATTTTCAGCAACTTCTCAACTACACATGCAAAATAAAAATGGAAAATGAAAATATATTTCTTTATCACAGAAATATGTAGGTATATATTGAGGGAATAAGTATTGTTCTGAAATATCTAATGTTTTAAAAAAGGAATAAAAATAAAACGTATAGCATACAAACGGACAATTTGGAGTTAGTATATTTTCGATACGTTTCCGGTACAAGTAGCGGCACGAAACTCTAGCGCTGACCGTTATTGCGCAGAAGTAAAAAATAAGGTACCTGAGGGGGGCTAGCGGAATGAAGAGCGGGCGCGCGTAGCGTCGATTGGCTCTCCAGTGTCCAGTCGCATTCCGTCCCCCGCACCGATACGACGCCCCGCGCACATCCCGTGTACAGTCGCGTCATTAATATTATTGTTACTGTTGTTACGTTTTGTTGTTTTTTGTTACGTTTGAATTTGTTAGTGTTTTGTTGTTTGTTTTTAAGTTTGTGACTTTAAAGTGAATATGCCTAGAACAAAGACTGTTTTGAAAAGACAAGCCAGGAAAATGGTTTATGACGTGAATTGTTTTTAAAAAAGGGAATGTAACGAATTAATTAATTCTTTGAAACAAATCCAAAGTGAGATTGACGAAGCTACAAATCATTAATCAAAGTGGCATATAATGTATTGCGTGCGCGACAGTATACATGCGCAGCAATCCCCTCCACGTATCAGCCAGCGCTCTGCGCTAGACTTACGTGCCGCTGCCTATATCAACTATCAACTCGTCATAATAAATATTTACTTACATTCTTCTGACAGCTTTTATCCATTCATTTCTTTTTTTAATTTCCCAATTCCGTCTAGGAAACGAATAAAAAGTTAATCCACTATTGCGAGATTGGGAATTTTTACACCCCACAACACAACAGTATAAAATATAAAAAATACTTAGCATTTTATTTTTCATAAGGCTAAGTATTTTTCATCCTCAAATGGGTCAAATTTGTCCCTTTTTCGGTGGAGAACTTTGTTAGAAGCAACACTTATGAAATGTCAGAATTCTTATCTACGGTCTACGGAATGAAAAATCAGACTATATATCGCAAAAATACAAATAGATTTAAGATTATAGAAGTTCAGTTCTAGTTAACTCATAACTGTTAAGTCAGGACTAAGGAGTCCAATAACAAATCTAAAATAAATAGGAAAAAAATTATTGACATTGTAAATATTACAATTCTTTACTATTTACGAATGCAATACAAATTATCATGTCATTAGAAAACGCACTAGTCTCGGTAAAAGTGGTAGTTTTAGGCGATATTGGTAGAAGTCCACGTATGCAATATCATGCCCTGTCTCTGGCGAGTTCGGGAATAAAAGTGAATATCATAAGTTATACGGAAACTAAGCCTTTGCATGATGTTGAGCAAAATGCCAATATTAAAATAACAAAATTGCATCGTCTAGAAATAGGAGGCCCTAAGTTGATACAGTATTTTGCCAAAGCATTATGGCAGAGTATAAGTTTACTTTTAACATTATTTATTACGGGAAAATGTGATTTTGTGATGTGCCAGAACCCACCTGCCATACCAACTTTGCCAATATGCAAATTTTACTGTCTGATTACAAAAACAAAATTTATAATTGATTGGCACAATTATGCTTACTCAATTATGGCATTGTCTTTAAAATCTGATCATCCCCTGTTAAAATTGTCTAGTAAAATAGAAAAGTGGTTTGGCCAAGGTGCAGACAACAACCTCTGTGTTACTTATGCCCTAAAAGAGGATCTTTTAGAGAAATGGAGTATAATGTATGTACCTATCATGATATCAAAAATTAAATGCTAACACAAAAAGCAAAACTTCATACACAAAAGAGTACTACAACTTGTTTCTAATATCTTTAATAATTATAATACAGGAGTCAACCCCTTACATACTTTTTGACTGCATTTGTTGTTGAACCACCACCTCTAGCCATGTTGTAGGCAGTTTTTTTATAGACAAATAAATGAAGGTATATTTTCAGCGCAACTGTTTTGTATGACAAGCCACCAAGAATATTTTATCCACTCTCACAGGAAGAAAAACACAATTGGTTTGTCAAATTAGGAAAACAATATGAAGAATTTACAGACCTTAAAGCTGTCAATCCCAAGATGAAGACAGCATTTACAGAAGTAGTTGACGGAAATGTGACTATGAGGAGTGACAGACCGGGTTTGTTGTTTAGCAGTACAAGCTGGACACCAGATGAAGACTTTAGTATATTGATGGATGCCTTACAAGGTCCTTTAGTATAGAGGTCATATTAAGTTACTATGTTATGTTTTCCCTATATTTTTTATTCCTTACAGTTATAATAACTCAAAACCTACAGTTAATCACTATAATTATAACTATGTAAATATTGGGTTGCCAGTCTATAGTTAGTATATTCTTGGTAGATTCTAGTTTAAATCACTGTTATGTCCGAAAATAAACACACGGATTACTAAATGGAACACTACTAACAGACACAGTCCTTTTTGAAATACTCAATATTTATTTACAGTTTATGAAACAACCTATAACCTGTCAAGAAAGATGCCCAAATTAGTTTGTGTGATAACTGGTCAGGGTCCTATGAAGGAGTATTATAGAAACCAGATTGCCTTGCGTAATTGGAAAAATGTCACTGTCATCACACCTTGGTTGGAAGCCGCCGATTATCCAAAAATGGTAGCCAGTGCAGAATTAGGTGTGTGTCTCCACACTAGTTCATCAGGATTAGATCTACCAATGAAGATAGTTGATATGTTTGGTGCTGGACTCCCAGTTGCTGCTTATCAATTTAAATGGTATAATCTTATTAAATGTGAAATATAACTTAATTAAAATATTTGTAATATTAATTTGCTATTGTTTCAGTTTAAGTGAACTCGTACAGGATGGTATAAATGGATATACATTTCAAAATAGTGCTGAATTATCAAAACAAATTGTTGGTTGGTTTGAAAATTTCCCAAACAACAAAGAGCAAATTAAAATTGCTGACAAAATGAGGAGAGAATTGATCAAGTTTCAAGAATCGAGATGGGAAGATAACTGGAATTTAAGAGCCAAGAAATTTTTTGAATTGTAAATTTGTAATATAAAACATTTTCTTAGTAAGCATTTTATTTTGAAGGCATTGAAGGCAACAAAAAGAGGGTATAAAGATATTCAATAATCAAATATTGATATGATCATAAAAAATAAAACACATTGCTTTATTGATACTTTGTATTAAAAAATAAGCAGTACACATACATCTTAAACTAAAAGTCTTTCAATTTCTTGTTGAATGCTTTGTATTTGTGGCTTTAACTGAGAGCCCTCGTTAATGGTAATTGAGCAAGATATAATAGGACGAGATACACCACATGCGCGCCCCAAAGCTTGCTTCGACCTTACAAACACATACGGAACATTTTTATCTTCACATAATATTGGAATGTGCAAAACAATTTCTAAGGGTTCTGCATCTGCTGCCATTATTATAAACTCGGAGAGACCCCTGTTTAGAGTTTTAGTAGCTTCATTAGCACCTTTACGGAGCTGTTTATAATTTGCTGCTTGTTGTACCAGATTTAAAATTTTTGCAGTCAGAGCTGCATCGGCTAATGGGTAAGCTTTAGGATTAACATTAGCTTCCGACTCACTCTGAAAATGTTAAACACATCTACAAAAACTAACCTAAAACAATAACCTCAAAAAGCAGTAGCTAATAAAATTTTGTAATAAGGTTAATAATATGCATTGCTGTGCGGTCTAGAAATTATTATGAGGCTTTTTTATGGGATTTATTATTACGGAATACATGAAGTAGAACTTACCATATTGAATTAGTTACCGCGTGTTAAACAATATTAAATATATCGGCCTCTCAGCGATTTCTCGCTTCACTGAGGGAAATGGGAAACGACTACTTCAGTGTTCACCAAGTCCAAATTTACAATAGTACTTTTATTCATTAATGTTACTTATTATAAGAATTTATATTTTCTTCGCAATAACACAGACGTTAAGAGTTAAGACTTTAAAGTATAAAGTACGATTAGATAGGATCACAAATATAGATGTGGATAGGGTAGATCTGTGCACAATCTAGAGGGATGTCAGTTTGACAACGATTATTTAAAAAAATAGATTATTAAAAAATACAATATTATTTTGGGCCAAAAATCGATTTTTTAATTACATAATATATTATTAAAATTGCAGTATTGAATCGATCCAGTGAATCAGTATTTCGCCTTTGAAAATCACTAATTGATTTTTATTGTTTGGCTTTAAGCCATACATTTATTTATGTTTTATTGAAGTTAGACTTCTTTTGGCGCGTTAGGGAAAAATTATGAGAGTAAATTTTTACGATGCGCGCGCACACCGTCACAAAAAACTGACACCTTGAAGTTAGCTATAGTCAAAATTTTAGAGTCGTTTTTTCTACAAACGTAGAATAAGGCGAAAGATAAAAAAATTAATATGATTTTTATCTTATTACGCCAAAGAAGTATATCTTCTAACGCGTGTACATAAAACACACACGTTTTTTATTTTTTTTTACTATTTAATTAGTTGAATGTACCCGTAATGTTATCGTGCTGCCGGTTAAAAGTCGTTTCTTTTTCTGAAATCTGTTTTCTCACATTCTTTGTTTTGCAATGTATTTTTGTATTTATACAAATTCTCTGACTAAGAAAGCTCAGGATCACCAAGCAAAGCCTTTGGGTCTGATTCAGTCTGTATATACCTGATCGAATTTTGTTTTTTAAGTTTGTTTGCTAGCTGCAACATCAATTTTAGATCTTACGAGTAGGTAGTTGTTTACCTCAATTATGCCTATACTGTACTGGAAAGAACAAAGAACTCTATGATAAATCACGACCTTAATAGCCAAGATATTCCTATATGTGTATCGTGGATTTATCTGTTTTTTATCTGTTCCTTGTGAGGGCCTTTTTAATTGCCGGCAACATTGAAAGTTGTCAGTGGAACTGTATGGATCCAAATAGACAAACTGTTATTTTATATATAAGCATTAAGCATTGGGAACTTTTACTGTTATCTGATCTGATTTTGTAATAATAATAATTTTTATTACCGAATTCACAGAACTAAAAAAAACGACGGGTTGCACTCCGGGAGTGCCGGCAGAAGTGAAAACTTGAATATTGACGTTGTGCATTTTTCATATTTTGGAATAGTTAGGGAATAATTTTGCACGAATTGCTTTAATTATCTGTATAAAAGTACTATCATTTTTGTGGTAGAATACAATATTTATTTATTGGGCTATCGTACACAAATATGACAATTTATATTACATTAAATACGCCGCGCCAGCTGTCTACTCTTCATCCGTCTTACGAATTTTCGATTAAGTCACGTGTCCTGACGCGAGTTTAAATTTTTTTACCCATTCCAAAAAAAGAGTACAACGCCGCTAAAGAAGTTTTCACTTCCAAAAATTACTGATAAAAGATTTACTATGGTATGTTTCTAGTTTTCCATAAAATGGATTAATATACTGGATTACTATTCGAATAGATTTTAGGATCTCTATCATTTTCAGAAATAATTGGCATCCCTACAAGCTAGAAGACTATTTACTATTAAAGTCCAACAATTTGAGCTATAGTTGAGTCTTATATAATATTATGTATTACATTTACATTGGATCTGTGAAGATGAGCACAGAGGTCAGAACTCGAGTTGAGAAAAAGTACCTTCGGATTTTGATTTACCCTAAATACCTCAAACTGCTGATCTGTAAATTTGGTATAGGGCGCAAAACTTTAGGAGTTAGAAATTTTTTAATAATTAATTACAATAAAAACGTATTTTTATTAAAATAAAGCATATAAGTTAATTTATGTTGTAGCGTCTGCGTATTATTATTGCTAATGCTATCGCTGAGGCACTGGCTTTTCCCCCTGCATTAATCGTATTACGATCGGGGTCTAAAATCAATCTTTTCAGTTTCTTTGGTGCGTATCAAAAAATTGAGTTATTTCTTTTGTTAGATTTTATAATTTTCAGTATTTTTCCGATCTTTTCAGCCAATGCTAAAAACCATGAACATAAAATTTGTGCATGTATTTTTTTCTTTACAAACCTCACCAACATTGTAGACGTTACGTTACTTTATTTATTAAGGTGAGCAAAGCGAAGTCAGCACTACTACAACCGGTACAATTTCTCTTAATATTTATTATTAATATATGTATGTATAAACAAAAAGTATAAAAACATTAACAACTAACGTTATAACGTTTATGTAAAATAGCGCCATCTATTAGAAATACTTTTAACTACGATATGATTTTGGTTGATGTAATAATGTGTTTGTGGCGTGGTATTCCTGAATTTAAATAAAATGAAACGCTACAAAAACGTGCATGTATTAATAATGTAAATGACAGAAAATAAATATAATTAACCTATTCTTTTGTTGATAATTGTATTTTAATTTATTATAATTGACAGTGAAAATAAAATGGCAGAGTGACAGCACACTTGTTCTTTATTTGTTACGTCTTCCAAATATGGCTGGCTTTGGCTTATATAGACTCATCCCCTCCAAGTGGCTGGCATGGCGGTTGGCTGGAGGGTTGGTCAACATGGCATGGCTTGGCTTTGGCTTGGCTTGGCTTTGGCTTTGGCTTGGCTTGGCAGGATGTGTCATGTGACTGGCGACGTCACGTCCGTTACATAAAACTAAAATAGTCTGATTTTCTTTAAAATAGTAATCAAATTGGTCTTTCATATAACAGAAACGTTAGCAAAATTGATAATATAACTAGTATATTTGAAAAACCATAACCAATAGTTATTTATACAAAGCAAAGCTGGTTATTTGAAGTTTTAAAAAGAGCACATTAATAGGAAAACTAAAACAAAGTTTAGCATAGTGTGTCGATGAGTTAAGGCGCAATCTGACTTGAAATAAATAATAATTTATTCAGGAAATTCGAACGTTTTTTATCTAATTGATTGCAGTAACATTGTGACTATATTTTTCTATAATCATTTATTGTACACCTAGGAAGAAAGAGGGACACATCTGTCATTGTCTACACATAATAAAAGGCATCTTTAGGGACATTAAAAGTTATTATTAATTCGATTTTTTGAACATGTTATTATTGTTTTGGCCGGGCTGATTTGATAGAAAAGCGAGATGTCCCTTGGGACACTTGTTAGCATAGTGTCCTTTTGTCCCGCATTTGAAGCAAGTCACTTCTTCTAGAGGCTTATGCATCATTCGCTGCATTCTGTGTAGAGTTTGTTGAGAATCTTCTTCTCCCACTTGTTTTAAATAACCTAAAGCCCTGTACCTGGCTTCTTCTTGTTTCTGAGCAACTTCTCTTTGCTGAAAATAATGATAAGCATTGAAAACACGGCAATGCACAAAAATAGTACACGATTATAACATACTCTCATACATTCTACATATGTTTCTTTGGAGTGTCTTTTTAAAATAAATTAAAAATATACTATAACTAGTATAAGTATAATAACTATCTGACCATCTTATAATTAAAGTATTTCACTTCACTTACATCAGGAGGAAGTTTATGACAAGTGGAAGCTTTGTGACCAACTTCTGAACAGTAATGACATACTGGAAGTCGTTTTGTGTCTTTAGTCTGCTCGGGAGGTGCTGGCAACTCAAATCGCGGATGCATGTACTTGCAGCTTGCACCGTCAGGGCAGAATCCAGCTAAATAGTTCGTACAAAGGACACGCCTAACATGCCGGTGGCGACAATGTGGCCCATGTCTACAAAAACCTCTATCGTACCTGAAATTTATGAGACATTAAAATGAATAATAGAAATAGCCTCAATATTTTCTCGGAACAAGCCGGACTGTAGCCACACTTAGTAGTCTGCAAGTATAAGCGGTTTAGTGGCTGTCTACAAAAGATTCCGCCCGTTGCCCTCCTAATTATTTACAAATATCTATCTCGCTTCATCCATTTTCATGACATTCACCATGCATGCTCGTCGGTAATGGGCACTTTTAACATGTACCTCCAATCCAACCCGACTTCACCATCCACGGTTGGCTCGTACATCCTAACCGCTTCTCATTCATCCGTTTTACATGGCATAAGGCCAACTTATTCCCCTTCGTATTCTCTTTTAACCCACATATCTCACTACTAGTTATCCTATCACGCAGTTACAACACACATAATTACCACAAATAATTATTTCTCTGCCACACCAAACATTTACTACCGTACATTGAAGTCGAGATAAGCACTCCACTATGTATGTAGATACTCCACATGCTGTACATTAGAAATTACTTAGCTACACACAAAGGAATGCAACTCTATTCCCGGCCTTCACTCGTATTTCTATATCATCCTTAAACTTTCCATCTGGAGTAAACAGACAGCAGAACTTATCCACTTTTCAGAAGATGTCTTATTTGATCACTCCATCTATCAGAATATTACATGTACAACTATATACTGTACAATTTACAACTGTTCAAAGTTCTTTAATTTTGACACTCACTATCCGATCATCAAAACTCTAACAGACATAGAAAAACAGCAATTGTATGATACAATTAGTTTTAAGTGTATAAATCAAGGAAAAGTCTAATATCTAGTCTATCTAGTCTATATACATGCACAAACTGCATAAATAAAAAAGTGAAAGAATGAGTGTACCTGTGAATAATATTATAATAATGCAATACTAGTAGGTACAAATTGTATCAGTCAGTAAAACAAAAAAAAATCTATAAAACAATTCTGTGTTTAATATTTTACTAATTTAAAAAAGGGGAATTTAGAGGCATATGCACGAGCTTCCTCTTGCTGTTCAAATATGCCTATAAATCCTATCTATAAGTTAGCGATTTTCGTTTATGTAATGTGTACTACATACATAGTAACCACATACACACACATATAGTATACAGCACCATCTACTACCAAGTAGTGTGTTCTATTGATTATGGCTAGACACTACTAACTAATTTGTTTTAATGTTATCTACTGGTACCTCTTTACAATTTTATTTAAACCAATTTTTTTATGTTGTAAAGATATGAAATCAGTGCTACCAAAGTTTTGCAATGATTGTTATTTTGTTTATGATTTCTTCTTCAAATTTATATATCAGATTTTCAATGGGGCCAACCAATACCGAACAATATCAACTATAAGAAACCAATATAAACCAAATTTTCAGGAGATTTATTGTTATACTATAATATATAAATATATATATGTTCTAGCCTATCAAACTCGTAATCATGCTTTGTTGCACATTCCTCACATAAACACCAACTCAGTTTTATACCACGCAGCCCAGACATACAACACCCACTATTCAAGCCTCGACTTGTTAACCGGATTTGTGTTATGGTCATGATATCATATCATGAGCACACCTCACATACATACCTTTACTTTCACACTATCACATAACACAGCCGAATAAAGTTTTACTTAGTAAAATATATTTAATAGTTTTTATTGAATTTTCTTTCTGTTAATGTTTGAACCTATTTGTATATCTATTATCTTTGGCTATATATTTATTATAATTGTATTTTGTTATAATTTATGTTAGCTGTAGGATTAAAAATAAATAAATATCAACATTGCTGGTCTGGTAATCTACCTAGACCAAATCACCAGCTACAAAAATGATTGGTATTTCAATAATTTTACATGTGAAAAATAGGGGGTGTATGTGGGTGATAAAATACAAAACAAATCTTAGAAACTTACCAAGGACAGTCTTTGATTTTGCTTTCAGGGTCAATGTGAAGAAATGGACACTCCTTATTATGACAAGCATTAAATCTAGCATAAAAGTAACATTCAGGCATTTTAGTCATATCATATTCATGTAAAAATTCGCACTGATCCCCCTTTTTACAAAGCCCTCGCAACCAATGTTTACACACCACAGTCCGATCACCACGAACATGCCTGTAAGGACACCGGGGTCCGTTATTACAACCTCCAGATTGTCCAAAAAACTCACAAACCGCCGCTGTAGACTCTGAAAGAAATATTGTTTGTGTAGCTGACTTTTTAAATACCAATTGAATTGTCTACAAATAAATGTGGCAATTATTATTTATGGTATTAACTTCATGTTTAATTGTGAAATTGCTTAACTTACTATCCATTCCTGGAAATGGCAAAGGCAACGCTCCATACTGCTGTTCGAGAGCATAATCAATATCAAATTTAATATGATCAACATTTGCTACTATAACTTCCATGACTTATTGTTAATAGTGTCAACACTCAACTTAAAATTATGTGCTTTTCCTGTTGTGGTTTTATTAACGAATTAGGCATTAGATTAGCCACTATTTTCTCTCTTATCTTCTCTCTATGGCCAGTAAACAGCTGTCAATGCACAGCTTACTTATAAGTTAGAACAAGTCTCAGAGTAAGTACCTATAGAGTATAGACCATACATAGATCCAAACAGTAGTAGTCGAACAAGAAACAGCTATAGATTTTAGCCCAGTCATATTAGGTAAAAAAAGGGGTCAACCTCGGAATGAAAGATAATAAGCTACAAATTGGTATAGACCTTTGTTTTGTCGTTCTAAATGTTGTCTCAAAAGTCACAAATGATACCGTGTCCGTGTCTTAAGATATTGAAGGTCAAAGGTCATAAAAATGGGTTTTTCGTGAATATCTCGCTTTCTATTGCTTAAATGATATTTGTACTTATTATAAAAGTTGTAGAGTATAAAATTCTCTACAATTTTCGTTTCATGTTTTTTTTAATACGGTCAACCGTTTTTGAGGTAGAGCGCGAAGAGTGCGCAGCGCACAGTCATAAATGGTCCTATGCAAGGTCAAGCGTGAGTTACGGTTATCAGTACGTTATATCAAGTCTATTATTTATTAAATTATTATAATTATTAAACAATGGCCATTATTTATGTACTAATTTTTAATTGTTGATATTTTATTAAAATCAGTAACTTAATTATTTATATTTAACTATTCAACTATAGTATATTATTAATTCTGGAATATATATTTTTAGTTAAAACGTCATTACATACGTTTTCTTCAAAATGTGTAAATTTTTTAATACTTATATACCTGGATATACTTGTCCCTACCCTATGACCTTTTCTATTTATAGCCGGGACAGATGTTCTATTGTATTCAAGGCCACTTTCTCTTTTAAGGGACCACTTTGTATTCGTCAAGATTATTCGTTAGTTTGAAATTGTATCTTCGCAACGACGGACGTACGGTTTTAAGAGCTATGGCTGATTTGTGTTTTATATGTGATAAGTCACTTTCAGAGGGTGTTTCTGTGAATGTTGTACGTGGTTTACAAACTTTAAAAACTGCAAGTATTGAAAGAAATGATGGACATATAGACTATTTAAATACTTTAAGTTCTGTGAATGTGCATTCCGAGTGTCGAAAAGTGTACACTAGTAAAAATGCTATTGTTGCATCGAAACGACGCACAGAAGAGGGTGAACCTTCAACGCCAAGTGCACCTCGTAAAAAAAGAAACGAAGTGTTTGATTTTAAAAAATTGTGCTTATTTTGTGGCCAAGAAGCTAATGAAGTAGCGGAAAGGAAAAAAAGGGAGAAGTACAGACGGACAATAAGTAATGTAAGCACTCTAGCGTTTAAAGAGAACGTAATTAAAAGAGCAGAAGAACGCAACGATTTCTTAGGAGAATTAGTAAAGGAACGTATACTTTACGAGTATGATTTGATCGCTGCTGAAGCAAAGTATCATACTATTTGCTATACCAACTTGTCAAAAAATTAAAAACTATTGATATCACAACAAAACAAGCCAGAGATGATGCTGATGTTCTCATCATCGAGACAGCTATTGCATTATCAGAACATCAAAAGACTGCCGTCATCATAGGAGAAGATATTGATTTGCTCGTTATTCTAATTGGGCGTACTCAATCACATCAACAGGAAATTTTCTTTAAAAAAGTTGGGAAAGGCAATGTTAAGACGCAAATATACTCTTCCAAAAGTTTTGATCAATATCCGCGTACTAAAAAACACATTCTATTTTTACACGCATTTAGTGGCTGTGACACGACTTCTGCGCTATTTAAAAAAGGAAAAAAAACTGTTACTAAAGCATTGGAGAAAATTCCCAATTTGGATAAACTGGTGGAAGTATTTCAACAAGAAAACTGCCCGGTACAAACATTATTTGAAAATGGAGTGCGCATCTTGTTGGCATTATATAATGCTCCAAAATCTGAGGACAACATTGATCATTTTCGCTACACGCAATTCATTAAATTAACGAAACTAAATAAACCTGTACAATTGTCAACACTTCCACCAACAAGTGTAGCAGCTCATCAACATATAAATCGCGTCTACTACCAGATTCAAACGTGGTTAGGGAATGACTTAGAACCTCAAGAATGGGGCTGGATGCTTGAAAATGGAATCCTGGAGCCCATAAGAACGTTATTACCTCCAGCACCAACCGAACTACTAAATATAATATTTTGCAATTGCAAAAATGGTTGTGGTTCCCGCTGTGGATGCCGAAAATCAGGGCTACTATGTTCTTTAGCTTGTGGCCAGTGCAATGGACAAGCTTGCCTGAACGCTGCACAATATCCAAGTAATCCCGATGAAGAAAACGCATACGATCCTGAAATTCTGGAGGGTTTGGAGATGAATATGACCGATAATGAGGATGATGACAATGAATTGAACGTTTTCGAGCGACAACAAGAAGACGACGAAGAAGATGAAAATAACTAGCTTCTATTCACAATTTTATTATAATTAAAACCAATAAAAATTCTTATGATATTTAAACTGACATTTCAACAAATGTATAGTATGGCATATTTAATGATAAATAAAGATATGCATAAAATATATCCCCTTATTGTCTTTTTAACTGAAAATATATATTCCAGAATTAATAATATACTATAGTTGAATAGTTAAATATACATAATTAAGTTACTGATTTCAATTAAATATCAACAATTAAAAATTAGTACATAAATAATGGCCATTGTTTAATAATTATAATAATTTAATAAATAATAGACTTGATATAACGTACTGATAACCGTAACTCACGCTTGACCTTGCATAGGACCATATATGACTGTGCGCTGCGCACTCTTCGCGCTCTACCTCAAAAACGGTTGACGGACTATTAAAAAAAACATGAAACGAAAATTGTAGAGAATTTATACTCTACAACTTTTATAATAAGTACAAATATCATTTAAGCAATAGAAAGCGAGATATTCACGAAAAACCCATTTTTATGACCTTTGACCTTCAATATCTTAAGACGCGGACACGGTATCATTTGTGACTTTTGAGACAACATTTAGAACGACAAAACAAAGGTCTATACCAATTTGTAGCTTATTATCTTTCATTCCGAGGTGAAACCCCTAAAATGACTGGGCTATTTGTAGTAATCATCATCATCACAATAAATCTGAAAATGATCGCGAGAAATCAGTGTCTAGTATGTATGTAAAGCCAAGTTTCAAAAAAATGAAAATAAAATAACGCACATTCACGTGAAAATTAAGAAACGGATTTCTAACGGAAATTTTGCACTGTAACACTGTTCACACACTGTTGTCCGGCGCAGGTGCCGATAGGAAAGCAACTCAAGCTAGGGATGTGAAAAAATAATCGATTATTAAAAAAATCGATTAAAATCGATTTTTTATCTGCCACCTCCCGACATTATGTCCCCGGACCTCGAACTATTAGGGATATTCGATATACATCGATGTTTACAATGCGATGCATTGAATCCGATGCTTCGAAGATGTATTGATATACTCGATGCATTGATGTTTTTTTGTAAAACAGCGAAAGGATGATAAAACCAGTTAATTTTACAAAAACTCAAGTTTGAATGTAACACTATAATTTAAAAGTAAAATAAATTTATTCAGCAGCGCAAGATTACATACAATTAAAAAGACAACAAAAATACTGCAATGTGCTACTGAAAAAGCATACACTCAGCATTTATCAAATTTCACCTAAAATCTATCAAAACGAGATTAAGTTAATTTCGATTTTGATTATTCTTAAACGTTAATTTGTGTTTATAATTTATATTGTTTATTTTTAATTAAAAAAACCATGAAGAATAAAATATTTAAGGTGTTTATTCTAATATAATTATTTAAAAAATTTGGAAAAAATGTTGTCTCAAAAGTCACAAATGATACCGTGTCCGTGTCTTAAGATATTGAAGGTCAAAGGTCATAAAAATGGGTTTTTCGTGAATATCTCGCTTTCTATTGCTTAAATGATATTTGTACTTATTATAAAAGTTGTAGAGTATAAAATTCTCTACAATTTTCGTTTCATGTTTTTTTTTAATACGGTCAACCGTTTTTGAGGTAGAGCGCGAAGAGTGCGCAGCGCACAGTCATAAATGGTCCTATGCAAGGTCAAGCGTGAGTTACGGTTATCAGTACGTTATATCAAGTCTATTATTTATTAAATTATTATAATTATTAAACAATGGCCATTATTTATGTACTAATTTTTAATTGTTGATATTTTATTAAAATCAGTAACTTAATTATTTATATTTAACTATTCAACTATAGTATATTATTAATTCTGGAATATATATTTTTAGTTAAAACGTCATTACATACGTTTTCTTCAAAATGTGTAAATTTTTTAATACTTATATACCTGGATATACTTGTCCCTACCCTATGACCTTTTCTATTTATAGCCGGGACAGATGTTCTATTGTATTCAAGGCCACTTTCTCTTTTAAGGGACCACTTTGTATTCGTCAAGATTATTCGTTAGTTTGAAATTGTATCTTCGCAACGACGGACGTACGGTTTTAAGAGCTATGGCTGATTTGTGTTTTATATGTGATAAGTCACTTTCAGAGGGTGTTTCTGTGAATGTTGTACGTGGTTTACAAACTTTAAAAACTGCAAGTATTGAAAGAAATGATGGACATATAGACTTTAAATACTTTAAGTTCTGTGAATGTGCATTCCGAGTGTCGAAAAGTGTACACTAGTAAAAATGCTATTGTTGCATCGAAACGACGCACAGAAGAGGGTGAACCTTCAACGCCAAGTGCACCTCGTAAAAAAAGAAACGAAGTGTTTGATTTTAAAAAATTGTGCTTATTTTGTGGCCAAGAAGCTAATGAAGTAGCGGAAAGGAAAAAAAGGGAGAAGTACAGACGGACAATAAGTAATGTAAGCACTCTAGCGTTTAA